GGTGAGGTTCATGTACTGTGTATTTCATTGCTTTTAATAATTTACCATGTCTGAGGTCTATATGTGATTAAAGTGAAGGACCGAGACAGATGAGTGATCCTGTCTTGGTCAAGATGTCAGATGTCAGTTATGACTTAGATGAGTGGGCGAAGCCCAGCCTAAGTCCAACGTCCAGATGAATGGGCGATGCCCAGCCTGGATTTCTATGGGAGGGGACCCCCAAAGTGTTAACATGAGTACCGGTTTACCGTTAGTCCCATAGCCAGTCCAGTTTATTCATATATATGTTGATTTCATAGTTTGGTATTAATTGTGCTGAGTATTCAGTGCTGGTCCCGGTGGAGCACCGTTGATTCCTTTGTGCTCACGCCTCCCCACTACCCTATTTTTCTGGTGATGGAGTCCCGCGTGGAGCGTGAGTCGGATGTGGTGGTGGTCGTCAATCAGGATATTTGTTATGTTATGCTTTGTATTGTTTGATTTAATTATGCCTTAGTTATGTTTCATTGATTGCTTGTATGCTCTTGATGTTTGAACCTATATTTGCTTCCGCATTCTAGAACTATATTTTAGAATGTTCGACTAGTATTTCAGGACTTCAGACTAGTATTTCAGTAGTTCAGAATTTCAGACTAGTATTTCAGTATTTCAGACTATGCATGCTTAAATCCTGAGATGTTCATGGCGCCTTGGTAGAATATGGATTATACTCGGTTGCATGCCTAGTAGTTTAAAGATATTAAAGATTAAAGATTTAAGATTAAAGTTGAGTAGCATCCCGCATATTAAAGTTAAAGTATTTTCGAAAAAAAAATAATGAGTTTTCGAAATTAATGCAAAGCTTTCTTTTTATAACGCGAAAAATTTACTCTGATTTTAGTAAGTCTAGGCGGGGTGTTACACTGGTAATCCCTTGGAAGGAAAAATATTATTCAGCTTCAAGAAAAACAACTCCAAATTATCATCGGTCTTGGCATCAACCACGACAAATTTCATAGTGAACAAATCATCATTGACATCCTTACTCACAACACTAAGCAAACAACATTTGTATTTATTTTTTATGTAAGTGCCATCTAAAAATATCAAGGGTCGACAGCCAGTTAAAAAACCAACAAGGCAGGCATAAAAAAATAAACAGTCAGAGAAACTTATTCTTGATAAGGTCAAACTCACAATCGACAATGCCTCTCGAGTTTGTCTCACGCACTACATTACAATACCATCTCAATCTGTCATAAAAGCCCCAGTAACCTAGAACCTGGTTCACCTCTCAGTTGTCCTTAATTATATTTGAGACCTGATGAGAGTCTGTTCTCGGATGCCCCCCGTTTTGAAGATTGGATCTTATGCAAGTATGAACTAGATTGCACTTCCGGATGGCAAACTACAGATCACCTTTTGTATCTTGATGCATATATTCTCCTTTGACAATCATAATGTCTACAACAAAAACCATGACTTTGTGAGTATCATTCTTCCGATACTTAAAAGACCGCCTATTAGCAATCACATAGTTCTTAACATGCTTTCGGAATTCATCCGCGCCAATGAAAATCTATCCCTCTCCTTTGAAGGAATATCTGCAAGAATCAATCGAATTATCTTGCATTAAAAGCTCAGATTCTCCCTCCCAGAAATCATCACACAGTACAATTTTCCTGCATTTTATGACAAAATGATACAAAGATTTATAAATAATATAATTAGTTAAAAAAATAATGAACTAGGATATCATACAACTATACCATATTTCAATAGTAAATTCATTACTATTATAGAAAGCAACATTACTTGCTCATGCTCATCAGGATGGACTGAACTCCATGGTTCAATCTTTCATTTTTTTATTTATTTATTTATTTTTTTTTTCAATGGCAAGTATCTATACAATACTTACTTTCCAACACAAATGCAACCGAATCATGTTTTTCACATCCTCATCATCGGACAAACTAACTTCCTTTTTTTCATTTGACGCAATATAGCATAACATTACTAATTATAAATTTACATACGGCCACCTCTTACCAATGTGAGTGTACATTTCGTCATTAGTTGATCCAAGGTGCATAATGAGCACAAACAATTCATTGTTGTAGGTACAACTCCCTAATATATCACTTTGTGTCCCTTCTAGTGTATCTAACAATAATTAGATAAAATAACACAACTTCAAATTTCTCAGCACAACTACTATCGAACAGTGATGAATGTGGTACTAAATACTCAAACTGAGATACCATAACCATGCATAGTGGTACAATGATCATTGTCACCTTATTTTTTTTGTGGTAGGGTGAACGACACCTGACATTACCTAACGATACCTTAAATTTGGTATATATGAACAACAAAAAAAGAGATTATGGTCACCTTATTTATTTTAAGTTGAATATAAACAACAATATTCAAAATTAAATCCTTATCAAATTAAACAAAAAATTACGAATTAAAGACGATTTTTGAATCCACAGTGCTCACATAATACATACCTTATCTACCACCTCAATTTTTCGCCGTAAAGCGGCCAAATAATGCTGGAAAAATGATGATTTTTTTGTCGGAGAAAAATGAAAATTTGACGTCCGTCCGTCGGCGGATACGTCTTTCGCTGGAGTTCTTGTCGCTGGAGAGTTGACCCTTCAAGGAAAAGGGGTCCGTGTTGTGTGTGGAAGAAGATGAAAGAAAAATAATAAAATAATAGAGATATTAATTATAGTGGAGTGATGAGAATTTTAATTTATTTATGCTTTAGTAGTAGGGTTAACTAGAAGAATATAGTAAACTTAGTTAGTCTAGTAAAAAAAAGCTTAGGAGCTGAAGCAGAATTTTAAATGGGCTTAGAAATTTATCGTGAAAAGACCCTTAAATGTATGAAGATTCCACTTAAATAATAAAATCTTAAAACAATACTGAATTTAGAAAAAAAATGTCATTTAAAACTAAAAATGTATATCATCGCCCTTATATATAATTACTGAATGCGCTAAACCTAAGTGGCAGACTCGTGTGCTTTGTAAGCTTATTTGCCATAAATTTGTGTTTCGTATTGACAAATGTACAGACTTCGTTTTGACTATTAAGCCTAGGAATTACCATAAACTATTTCAGCTTTCCTTATTTCTTAATTTTTTTTTCAACCGATGAAAGCGCACGCAAATACAAACTAGAAGACAACGGATCTGCTGAGAAAGCAACCAACCAACTGAATCTAGGTGGAGAGGTACACACAGTGTAGTCTCGGACCTACCTACCAACAACAAACACACAGCCACAAACTAAAACAACCAACAAACTCCCAAAAAAGGAGAAAGAAAAACTCCCACAAGAAGAGAAGCTTCTGACTGGGAGAA